TATTTTTAAATTGGTTGTGTGAAGTGCTGGACTTACTATATAGCCCTAATTTAAATTTTATTTTGTGTGGTAATTTCAATAACATCGACAGATATAAAAATGTCAAGTTTAATTTGTTATGTTATATGTTAACATAATTCAATTTAAATACTGTTGTGAGTTGGCCCACTCGAGTAACTGACTACTAGTACTATAATTGATCAAATATTTATGAACTTCTCTAAGAAGAAACTTGCTGTGTTTTAGATAATAATATTTCAAATCATAGCATCATTCTTTCAAACTTAGATGCCTTCAACGGAAATTAAACTCTGAAAGTGAAAACGGAAAGGAAAAGAGATTTTAGCTAATACAGCATTATGAATTTTGAAAACTCTTTGATACTGGAAAATTGGGAATATATCGTTACCATAGACGATTTCAGTGAGACTTTCAACATGTTCTATTCTTCATCGATACTTTATATATCATTTCAATATAACATTTAACTGTAAAGATAACAATAGATTAGTGCAGCGTTTCCCAGCCTTTTTCAGTCCACGGACCCTTAGGAAACCAAGCACAGTTTTCACGGACCCTCTTAATAAAATAAACAGCAAAAAAACGGATTAGGTATTTATTTTAGTTATTACAGATACAAAAAAAACATATACAGGAGGTAATTATAACTGTTTATTATGAAAAATATGAAAAAAAAAAAATTAATGTGAAGGTTCGTGTTGCTTTTTAGCAACTAAATCAGGAATATTCGGGTTGATGTTGCTACTAAGATGTAATCTCAAATCAAATTCTACTTGTAATCTGTTTCTGTATTTGTTTTTAGTATACACAAGAGTAGAGAATGTCTTTTCACATAGGTATGTGGTTGAAAAAAGCAGTAAATGTTTCAGTGCTTCGTCGATATCTCCTTATAATCTGTCTTTACATTCACCCAAAAACTTGATAGTGAAGATGCGTTGAAATTGCGTTTCAATGCTGAATCACAGGATATTTCTATTGATTGGTTTTCCTGTGCCGCTGTCAAGCCATTAATATCAGAAACATCTGTGTTGAAAGGGTCTGATATCCAATTTTTATTTTTGTCGGGTACTGGAAAATAATCCCGAAACGAAGACATCAAAGTGCGGAGATGTGTCACCATTTCATCTTGTACTTGTGCTGGCAATATTGCTTCACCAGAGGACTCCAAAAACGCTGACAGTGTTTGAAAGTGATTATAGTTTTTTTGAATTGTACGATTTATCCAAAGGTCAAGTTTTTTTAGCATCGTTTCAATTCTATCATCGACTTGGAAGATGTTGGTATCTCTCCCTTGTAGACTTAAGTTCAACTCGTTAAGGGCACTAAATATATCAGCCAAATATGCTGCCATGTAAGCCATCCAAAGTCATTGAAGTGATCAGCATATTTGCTGACGCTGTGTCCAGAATTCTTCAAAAAGAACATTCTGATCTCATCTCTCAGCTCAAAAACACGCATCACAACTTTGCCACGAGATAATCAACGGAGTTCAGCGTGCAATAATAACTGCTTGTGAATGCTTCCCATTTCTTCACAAATGATACCGAAAATACGGGAATTTAAAGGCCTGCACTATGTCGTCTAACACTGTTTTTAATTGTTCTGGCATGTTTTTAGCTGCTAATGCCTCCTTATGAATGCAGCAATGATGCCAGATAATAGCTGGATTCATCTTCTTAACGCGCACCTGCAGCCCTATTCGTGTCCCGGTCATAGCCCGAGCACCGTCGGTGCTAACTGCCATACACTTGTCCCATGTAATTTCATGAGTGGACATAAAGTTGTTCAATATTTCAAATATTGCTTCACCTGTAGTGTGCGAAGGTAAAGGTAAACAAAATGAAAAATCCTCACTTATGCTGTTGTTGTGTTCGTAACGAACATATGCAAGCAAGTTTGCATCATTGCTAATATCTGTGCTCTCATCTAATTGTAAAGCATAAAATCTGCTTGCTTTATCGTAGAAAATCAGCTGTTCTTTAACATTTCCCGAAAAATTATCAATTTTCCTTTTCACTGTGTTGTTTGATAACGATACAACGTCCAATTCTTTTGAAGCTTTGTCACCTAACAGCAGAAACCATGATTTTAGCACACGGTAAAATTAAGTCTTCAGCAATGGTGTGGGGCTTACCACTTTTTGCAACTAGCAAAGATACTTGGTAGGACGCTAATACAGCACTTTCGTTATTGGTCCCAGTAGCAGTCTTTATCATTGTTTTTTGCTTTGTTCCAATTGCGAGGCTTTAACTTTGAAAAAGGCTTTTGATTTGTCACGATATTCCTGGTGTTTTGTTTCTAAATGACGTCGGAGTTTGGCCGGTTTCATCGACTCATTTGACAAAACTTCGTAGCATATGACGCACTGAAGTCTGTCTTCCCCGTTTAAATTGGTACTTGTGAAACCGAAAGCTCAGTATTCGTCGCAAAACTTACGACGTTTAACCTTTGAAGTCGAAGGTTTTTCATTTGCTTCGTCCAAAGCGGAGTCATTTGGTTTTAATCAACGTTTCATTTTCACAGGTCACAATAACTTGAAAAACGTAATTTTACTATTTTAATCTCGGACGCAACACAACACAAATCAAAACAATTGTACTAATCGTGGGCGGCGCGTGTAAGCGTAATTTGCGAGCAGTGCGGGGCGGTGGGGGAAGATTCCCGGCGCGACGCCAGCACGCACTTGATTCACTCACATCATTCATTCGCTCTCGCTTACCGCACGTTCGCCGTGCTAAGTAAGCGTGGCGATTAAGCATTTCGCTCATTAAATGCAAAAGGGAAGCAATTCCAAATATATTTTTTTACAGGAGAGCCAAAACTAAATTGGAAAAACCAATTTATGTATTTTTTCTTCTTTTTTTTATAGATTACTAATATTGTTATACATCATTGGATGCATCTTTTTTAATTTTTTTAAATATCGTGTGCTTAGATCACATTTTTCTAATAAAACTGGTTTGCTGATTTTTCGTTCTGCGGCCCTTTTGCATTTAATGAGCGATTTATGTATGGTCCAGAGAAGACACCGCGGACCCCCATACATATACTCGCGGACCCCCAGGGGTCCGCGGACCACAGGTTGGGAAACGCTGGATTAGTGGATTGGTTAAGTATTCAAGTACATTTTTGAAAGATTTGTTTACTGAAAAAGACATATTCTATCCTTAAACCTGTATGAAGAAGCTAAGAAAAAACACAATTTATTGATGAAAGAAAACCGTATCAAACAAGATATTCACTTCATCATATTCACTATATTAGGAATATTTTGTTTATTAACTAAATAATTAAAGACAGTAGTTACAGAGCCTACGCTGATAATTTTTCATCATTTGTGTCTGCACCTGATACTAAAATTTCAGAAAATAAATGTTCAAGAGCATCAAATCAAGTATCCGATTTTTTTAATGGGCACGATTTATTTTTCAACACAGATAAATCACTGGTTATTCGTATTCACAATCGCTTTAAAAAAAATTGAAAATCTCCAGTTCAATGTAAATATCTTCAAAAAGTGATGGTAGTTGTGTCAAGTTTTTAGGCATTTATCGGATGAATTACTGAATTGGAATAGGTATTGCCAACATCTGAAATCTGAAGTCAATTCCCTGAAGCTTCTTTTTATTAATTTGAGATTACTAGACTGCTGCCCTTTGTTTTCGAAGGCAGGAACTGTTTTCATAAACTGACTTGTTCTCTTATCTCCGGGAGAAATGATTTGGGATTTTAAATAATTCAAGCCTTGTTTTATGAATTTTTCTAACTACCAAGAGAAGCCATTTTGCTGATATCTGCCGCCGTTGCACCTTCATTGTGTTTTTTTCTGCTAGTCATTATTAAGTCACAGTCCGGCGGGTTACACTTGAGTCTGAACAATTTATAGAAAATAGAAACATACTTTGAAAGAATTCAATAGGACTTGTGATGCAGTGTTTGGAACCTTTGGTGTAGTAATGAATATTACTGGAGTTTTTTCCCAACACCAAATCGTTATTTTTAACACCTCGACACGTGTTGCGATCACCAAGTGATCATCTTCAAGAGGAAAATTAAATTGTTTAATCTTCCTGTTGAAGATGATCACTTGGCGATCGAGGTGTGTCGAGATGTTAAAAAATAATGATTTGGTGGTGGTAAAAATCTCCAGTAGGTAATATTAATTCAATAGGAGCTCAGCTTAAGGTGTCTATTCAGTACGTGCCATCTTATAGTCTTTTTGACCACCGAAATGGATGAGTGATTTATGAAGAAAGCTACTCCGGAGTCGGGCCCCGGAGCCGCAAAACCACAGGAAAGTGCCTCACCAGTTGTATCATTATATATAAAGAGTAAAGGGAAGGCGAAATCTCGCCCCTAACTCCGAACAGCACAACCATCCATCTCTCGAGAAGGAACGGATCTCTATAGTAAATCGTCAAATAGATGAAAAAATCTCTCCAAAAATTGGGGGCCGAAGAAGCCACATATAGTGACAAAACGCCCATTCCAGGAGGAGGTTATAGCCCTAATACGTGACGCTCCGAAGGAAGATCAAACTCCTGAAAAAGAACTGAGCTTCAACATCCTTGAAGCTGAAAACATGGAGTGTGAAAACATTTCCGCTAAGTAATCGAATACACAAACTAACTTTGACACAAATATACCATCTTAACACCTTCAAATTATATTCAAGGTAATCGAATACACAAACTAACTTCGACACAAATATACCATCTTAAAACAAACAAGCAAGTCGCAATTCGGTACCGAATAAACCAAAAAGATAAAGGTACTCCGTTATCATTTGAGAAACCTACAACTTCTTCGACTTTGCATTTATAATATCATCCACCAGAAATTAGAAATGAATCATCGGAAAAAACTATTTGTTCGATTATGCATTCGTATTTATCGCCAAAAGTTTGAAATGAAGTATATCTGGTATCCATCCCTTTTTAGTCTGTGGGTCAATGCTCTTTTTTATTCGCCAGTCCAACTTGTGATGTCTATGAGTCTATGATCGATACTGTCAATCGGCAAAATAAAAGATACATGAAAGTAGAAAATCCATAAAAATATTTATAAAAAACATTCTAAATGTGGAATAACGAATATAATGATGGTTGTAACTTGTAATTTTTAGATTTATTCATGAACTTTCACAAAGTTGGAGTTTTTCAGAATCAGTTTGGAACAAGAACTACAGAATACCAAAGAGAAAAACAGAGGAAATGTATAACCAGGACTATAACACAGAAAAGCCAGTTTTGAATAGATCATACTTTAATTATTGTAATCAATACAGTCAGTCTCAATGGCACCAGAGAATGCAGTATTCACAAAACCCTGTGGAACCCATCACCCAAAATATTTTCAATACATTATCCAACATCAAAGAAAAACCGAAAAATCACCAGAAGAATATATGTCAGTAATAATTCATACAACTAATAGTTTATTATCTTTTTATTATTCCCAATGAAAACTTGACCTTTTGATAGTTTTTTAATCAGGAACATACTTATTGTGATTTATAATAATATAACCCTCTCAACAGATTTCAACCACAGCCTACGTGATGGAGAGTTCGTCCTACTTCTGTCCTAGAATGAGAATTCAAACAACATCATAATTAATAAAAGTGAAGAATATTTCTGTGTTGAAAGTGATATTTTTGAATAACCGATTTAGAATCACATCAATTTCAACATGTTGTGCCCTCAAGAACCCAGCTGACGTGCTTGCGAGTTCATCTGGCTATCAGCCTGGAGTGAGAGTCCATACAACACGATAATTTATTATCGTAAATGTTATTTTTCTGATTTTTTCGTATGAGAAAATTCTCTATTACTTGAAACATGTACATTCTCCACAAAAATTGGAGTGTTTTGTGTCAGATTTAGTCAAAGCTATGTATTTCCCACTCCCACTCGTGAAATCCATTATTATTTCAGTTCAGAAGAAATATTTCAGACTTAGCATAAGTATAAATCCAGTACAATACATTACCCATATTGATACATTTGGTACTGTGTCATATTCTATAATTGTTCACTAAATTACATGATAATTGAAAGACGAAAAGCCAATCCAATGAATACTTAGAGTTATCCAGTCGGATGATCTTGTTCAGTAGTAGGTATTTTGAGTAAGCCATTGTTTTCAATACCAACACGCGCCTCAATTGATGAAAGTTGAAACATTTTCTGTTTGACGGACTCAAAATATTTTTGTTAATTTATCCATCGTCTGTCTTGAAAGAGTTGGACAAATTATCTATTAATTGAAACATAAAAATTCTACACTAAAATTGGAATATTGAGATAAATTCTGTCAAAAGTATGCATTTCACCCCTTCCTCTCATAAAATCTAGTATTTTGGTTCAGAAGAAATATCCCTGTCAGCGCAAAAATATAAATTGAGTACATTACACAGCATGCAACTACAAGAAGACCAAATATAATTTTTGATGTATAGGTTAAAAATTTCTAAGAATAGTACATAATCGGCAATATGATGAATATTTAGAGTAGGCTTGTAGGAATGAGATCATACTCGGTAGCAGATAATTTACACAACCCTCATAAGTGCCTCCACTGATGTGAGTTTATATGTCTTCCGTCTGATGAACTCAGTATGTTTTTTTACTTTTGTCCTGAAATGGTTGATATATGTTGAGAGTTACAAATTTAACTATTCCATATCAAAATTAACTAGGAAACAGGTTTAGAAACTTACTAGATTTAATTCAACCTCAAAGTGGTTTTTGTTTTCGTTTTTTGTAAAAAAGACATCACTCTTGTCGAAACTGTAGTTTTCACAATTATTTTTCATTAGTTTTTTTCCAACCAAGTAATTATATTCTCTCAATTCTATCTAAATTTCATTCTTGTGCAGATTCAGAGTGAAAAATGGCAATGTTTTCAATTCCCTTATCCTTTTTTTTTTTGTAAAAACATTTGTTGCACTAAAATAATTTTTGTTATATGCAGATTTTCCTGAACCAACTTCTGATATCTTTACTACCTAGATTTTTCAAAAAATCAAAAAACATCAATAGCGATCCTATTCGATACTGTGAATTGTTCACTTTTGTAATTGTGTTACAATATAAAATAAGTCATAATCTCGTTACCAAAAAGATACCAATTGAAACTAAAAGGTATTACGAATCAAAGATCAACGAAAATAAAGGAAACGGTAGGGCTATGTGAAAAGCACTGAAATATTCAGTAAAGGGAAATAGAAAACCAGAGTTCAAAGGTATACAATATGATAGTGTTCTCATAACCAATGAAGCAAAAGTAGCAAGATATTTTAAAGCATTTTTCGTTGACAGTTTGAAAGATCTAACCGAAAGTATAGTAACAATAAATGATTATAATCATGTTCTCAGTTATATTATACCAACAAATGAGATACTTGGGGAATTTGAAACATTGAATATGTGGGAGTTAAAAAAGATAATTTTTTCCCTGAAGAAAAATAATACAGATGACAACGGAATTAATCTGAATATAATCAAGTTAACATTTGAAATACTGGGAAATAGGTTTTTGGACTTGATAAATTTATCGTTAACCACTGGAACATTTCCTGACGGTTGGAAAATTGCCACCATCGTTCCTGTTGAAAAAATTACAAACACCCTTTTAGGATCTGATTTCAGACCCATAAATACCCTGCCGATTTATGAGAAAATATTAGAAATGACAGTGAAAGAGCAATTGATGAAATTTATAGCGAAACATTAATATATTTCAAGTAATAGTCATCAATAATTCGTTTTGTTTTCCAGTTTCTTGTCTTTAAAATGTGACTTGTATCTATTTTATTTTTTTTTTGTTTTGTATTTTATAAGTGACTGACTGTAACTATGAAGAGCATTATTTGCTAATAAAGAGTAATAATATAATATAATAAGCGTAACTTGGGTATTGGCCCACCTAGATATAAATAAGACTAAAGTTAGATTATAAAATTATTGGGAAAGGAAGGTTTTGGCTTTCTACTTATCTATCTTAATACAAAGATGTGTAGAGTATGCAGAGAAGTAACTTTCAGACACAAACTGGAAGACAAAGCCCTTTTGCTCTCATGCAGACCTACGACTTTGTAGGTACGTGTGGCAGATACCCAACGGAAAAACAAACAACCCACCCAGCTAATGGGTGACACTTCGAAACCGGTCTATCAATTGGCCGGATCGACCAAACGAAATTAATTTCTGCTTTTCATAGTGGGAAAATAACTTGCAAGGAATCTTCTAAGTCGAAGACGTTGCACAAGTGCCTTATGGTTTTACTTCAGCATTCTACGCGGCAGTAGCTCGGTGAGTAGTTGTTTTTCCGTCGAGTATCTGTCACACGTACCTACAAAGTCGTAGGTCTCCATGAATGGAAGCAAGGAGAATGTCATATATATATATATTTATTGACATAATACAACATGTTTTCTCGACGTTTGTTCCTAAAAACACTTCATCAAAATTCCATCATTTAACTTTTTTTTAATGAGAAATAAAATTTCTAAATATCGTTGCAAGCAAATAGTTAATAGTATCGTAATATACCATATTGAAGAAAAAAACAGTTGCGAAAGAGAATGTAATGAAATAATAAATTGTAGAAAATGAACATCATAACGGAATGCCTCACGTTACATTTTTTGAGTTGCCGTCTCACGCGGTATCGCAGTAAATGTTCAAATTGTCTTCCATCATTTCCTAAATGAATACTTGCGCTAGAAATAGTGTGCTTGTGGCAGTTATCTAACATTTGTGGATTGATTGAAGCCCCACAACGGAAAATCTAGAATAGAAAGATCCGGTGAACGTGGTGGCCATTTAATAGGAACATTATTTCCTAGCCATTTTTTTAGAATAGTTGTACTGAGGAAATCTCTACACATTCTCCTGCGATGTGGTGGAGCTCCGTCGTGTTGGAAATACAAATTTTTTTTCATTAGGCTAAGTGGCAAATCTAGAAACTCAATTAGAGTCCCTGATAAGAAGTTCAAGTATAATTCTCAGGTCAGAGATGTTTTAAAAAAAAGTGGGGGGTCAATAATTTCATTATCAAGAACACCAAGCCATATGTTAACACCATATCTCTATTGAAAATTGGTAACTCTGTAAATATTCATTTTCTTGTCGTCAGTGATAATGTATGTTCCTGTTGAACCACCCGTTATTGGTAAATCTGCTTTCATCACACCACATTTTTTTTCTGCAAATTTCTTTATTTTGCCGAAATTTTCTAATGAGCCATCTGCAAAAAACTTTTCTCCTGTTGAAGTCCGTCATACGCAAATGATGGACATTCCTGACTCGATAAGGTTTGAATTTATTTTTCTGTGAAATTTTCCGTACAGACGTACGGAATCTCTCTCGGGGATAAGTCCTTGTTCTAATTTTTTTTATTTTCCACAAATCCTAAATCAAATGAGTGTCACTTTATCATTATTGTGAATCTATTTTGAACTCACCTAAAACGCCGATTTTATTATCGACACCATTATCAGTAACTGTACACTTTCTTTTATAGAAGCCATAATTTCGTAAACTATTTCAATACATTGAAAATATCTATGATTAGGTTGTCATCGTTTAGGATACAATTCCTGATAAATTGCCAGAGATTTGGTAGCATTTCTCAAACATCTCTAATAAACAAAGAACATATCCACTTTTGCGTCATTGGAAAAATTCATGTTTTCCCTTAAAAGTGCTGCCCAACTTGAATAACTGTTTTATTTTGTGTTTGACAATTAACTTGACATTCACATTAATGTATTTCATGGCTTACTTCAAAAAAGGAAATTACCGCTTATCATATTTCTCCTGAATATCATCTATAACTTTTTCGATACAGTATTTTTATTAACGAATTCTTGTTGATATACTCATTTTCTGAACAGAAATATTTGGGTAGCTACAAATTTTCAAGAGACATTTGGAAATTATGAATGGCTTGGTAATGATAGAAAGATTATTGGTCTCTCTTTTTCAAGACAACCCTGACAGAAATGTATTTGGATTTCAGTGAATAGGTATAAATATTAAGGATCTCAATGAACGACATCACCGACGGAAGAACTCTGTTTGGATTTCAGTAGCATTCGGAAATTCGAGCTCTTAATAAAAAAAAAATGATAGAATATTGATGGTGTGTTTTTGGAAAAACGTCTAGAAATACATATGTTGTAATATTTCAATGATTTTGTAATGATAATGACTGCCAAAATGTATAAAAAATATACAGGTCCGTATTGAAAAAAATATATTGATGATGGATTTCCATGATTGATATGTCGCATTGGAGGATGGGTTGAATCGGATTATGAAAAACATTAAATGAAGCAGAAAGTTCCTCTGTCATTTTTTGATATTGAAAATGGAGGCGGTAGAGCATTTTCAGTTTTTTGCAAATATCTCAGAAACGGTTGGTGATTTCATCTATCTGAGAATACCATTATCTTGCATTCCTAACCATTCAACCATCCTTGTAAGACCTATCGTTTCTGAGATAGCAATATTGGTATCAACTAAAAAAAAAGGCCTGTGTATATATAAAGTAGTCATAGTATTGCTTAAATGAATATGATTATTCAAGGAGGAGCAAAATCCAACATGGTTCCATTGTGACATCTGTGATCTGCCATTGACAGGAAAATTACATGCTGAATCTCATTATATGGGAAAAAATCATCAAAAGTATGCTAGATATGCTGCATTTTTTTGCATACTTTCGATATTTATTATTTCAGGGCGGTCAGAGGACATAAGGCTCCAGCTGGTAAAGGATACTACAATAATGAAGGAAAATGGATTAGATTGGCGTAAGTTTTTATCATCGCTTTTTAACAAAGAGAAGGTGATATACTCATGGTTTGTAGGCTGTCACGGCCGGTATCTAACAAATTGTCCGATGTCTATTAGCCGTGGTCTGCAGGTTTATTATACCTGACGTTTCGTCTGTAACTGCGGCAGACATTATTAAAGGCAATGCGGCAACGATTGAAGTGATCAACCTTATGCGATGTTCAAACTGAAAACAATCCTTATGCTTTCATATGTAAAATGGGACCAGGTGTCGGACGACTGCTCTCGTACCTGATTGGTCCGACCCTCCTTCAATTATTGGAAGAATTTTTGTGCTGTTAAGTGCTGGTATCCAAGTCTTATTTATATTTGAGCTTTCTTCCTTAGGGTTGAAATTATTCTTATGTTTATGTATTTCTATGGCCTCTCTGAATGTTACGGCTGCCCTTCGAGAGAGTGTGTTCTGCAATTGTCTATTTATCTGTTTGCCCATAGCGGCTACTTCATTTAACTCAGTCGAACGCTTCTTTTCATGGTTCCAATGTAGAACGAACCACAACTACAGGGTGTTTGGTAAACTCTTGGGGTGCTTAATGGAGCCCTGGGCTCCCTCGTGGGCTTGGAAATGGCCCTAACTTCATGTTGAACTGAATTTTCGGATTTCATGAGTTCAATTCTTTCTCCTGACTCCAAACCACGATGGTATCATCAGCCACCTTCCCAGTTTGGAGTCTCGGGGAGGAAGAATTGGCAAAATTTCTGGAATATTCTGAAAATCCAGTTTACAATGGAGAAAGAACAAGAAGGGAGAATCGCTTTTCTGAATGTATTAGTGAAAAGACGGAAGATGGCATACTGGGGCATGAAGTATACAGGAAACCAACCCATACGGACTGACATTTGAATGAATAAGCACTTTGCAACAGAAAAGAAAGGGTTTTTTAGACTCTGGTAGAGATGGCAAAACCTGTCTGTGAATCGGAAGGGACTACAAGAGGAAATGTGTCATCCTGAAAAATGCATTTTTGTGTAACAGATATAAAGGGGTTGAAATCAGTCAAGCCTTACGACCCATCAGAAACACTCCATGGTGACTACAAAGCGAAGGGCCAATGGAAGAACTTTTCTGCCCTACTTAAGCGGTGTGACAGACCATATTGGAATGTTTCTCGAAAAACATGGAGTTAGGGCCATTTTCAAGCCTACAAGAATGATAGAAGCATCCTGGATACCGTGTTGTTGTGATTTGTTCTACATGGGAACTACGAAAAGAAGCGTTAAAATGCGCTTGATTGAGCATAAATGAATCTGCCTCTATGAACAGATGAATTGACAGTTGCAGAACACGCTCTCACAGAGGGCAGCCATGACTTGCCTTCGAATGTTAGCAAATTCTTGATAAAACCAGAGAGGCCATAGAAATGCATAAGCATGAGAATAATTTCAACCGTACGGAAGAGAGCTTAAACATCAACAAAATATGGATGCCCTATAAGATCAGTTCTTCGTTCGGCGCCTAGTCCCATTATAAGTTCAAACGCACCAGGACTATTTTCAGTTTGCGCATCGCAGTAAGGTAGGTCACTTTGACCTCACGAAATGAATGAATAGAACTATTTTGTTTTTTGTTGAAAAAAATTATTTGTCGAAAAAAATCTATACAAGAACAAACCTTAACTGAGTTTCTTATCAAACTATGAATATTCGAGCTTTAGAGTTGTATCATTTTAAAATCTGTTTTTCCGTTAACCAGCTGTCGGAACGACAACCCTCAGAAGTCGAAACTTGTGCGAGCTAAGGATTAACGAGGTCTTACCTTTTCACGTGTGATTCCTAACACGGGTTGGACGATAGCAAGCGAAAATCGATCGTTCAGACAAGGGCTTGAACCACCGACCAACACGGCAGTCAATTCGAGTGAGTGAACAAAGCACCCACGTCGAACCGCCTGGCTACCGACCGGCGGTAGCCAGGCGGTTTAATTGAAGAAACCTTATTACTTATAATAAGCTTTGCAACTTCAACATTCAATGAAATGATGAAAAGAATGTTGGCTCAATAATCGAATACAGTTGCAAAATAAATTGTCCACCAAAATCATTCCAATGAGGATAAATGATTGATGATACTTTTAATAATTGTAGAAATATTGGCGCAACGCTTTTGTCAGTTTCGAGTTATACCACCAATTGTTCGATCGTGACTGATACTTGAAATTAAATAAATTATTAGTGGTGGCTCGAAATATGGATTCATTTATACCATTGTCTCCGTTGTGTTCCTCATGAAATATCTTAATCATCGTTCACGGTACTTTCGTTTGTGAATCGATAACTTACAATTAAACTATATCAGCATATATCCAAAAAACTATCTAACTTCCGCTTGAGGTATTTTCGATATTACATACAAGTATTTCAACATTGAGTTATAGTCACCGGTATTCAATTACTTTAGACTATGCCACCTTCTATGAAATCCTGACAACAAAGCATAGCAAAACAGAATATTTATCTCAAAACAGTACTAAATTTAGTACTAAAATGTTCGCGGTCTTTGAACAAAACTGTATATGACTATAGCCATAAATTTCTTTGACATTCTTGCACTCACCGAAACGTGGCCGAACAATAGCTTTGAAGACGCAGAACTTGGTCTAGAGAATTATGTTTCATCGTAAAGACCGATCAGTACAGACAAATTCGGCAAACGGAGGAGGCGGCTCCCACATTGCTGTTTCCAGTTACATCTAAAGTAGGTTGTCACCTTCTATGAATGAAATAGAACAACTGTTTGTGTTAGTTGAAATTCCTAGACATATTCATACTGAAAAATTTCCCAGGTGGTTCTCATCAGACTTGAACATCTTATTTATTTACTCATGTAAAATAAAATAAAAAAATGGTTATATAGAATTTATGTAATTTTCTGAATATTTGGCAGTGAGTAATGTCAATGCATTCTGAAATTTTGTGAACACCAAGCTTAAGCATAATTTAGTAGCAGAAGTGATGTATCATGATGAGCTTGCCAAAATGTTCTAATATTACTTTAGTTCACTGTATTCTGTGACAACCTTCCGAATTATAAACTTGTAAACTCCTCTCTGTCTGTTTCTAATCTGTGCCTGTCAATATCCGAAATCCAGGAGATATTAAATAGTTTGAATGCTTCTAAAGGTCTTGGTCCAGATGGTATTCTTCAATCATTATCGGATCACCGTAGCTTTGTTCTAGCACCACCTTTACATATTATTTTCAATAATTCCATTAAACAGCACATTTTGCCATACTTCTGGAAATACAGCTTGGTGTAACCCTTATATACAAATCTAGTGATGAGTCTGATATCACAAACTACAGAACAATCTGTATCCAAAGTAGAATTCCCAAAGTTTTACATTTTCTTAATATCAAACAGTTAATTACCACTATTCTCAGACCCATCACTTCATAATCAACAATTTCGATTTCATTCAGGGAAGTCTACTGAGCTCAATCTACTTGTCTATGTAGATTACCAAAGCGTTTGATAAAGTCAATCATACTCGATTAATACAAAAACTTCAACATATGGTAATTTCTGACAATCTCCTATCTTGGCTACAAAATTATCTCTCTAATCGGATACAGATAACTCAAGTTAACGGATTTTAATATTCTGGTGGAAGTTTAGTACCGTCCGGTGTGCCCCAAGGGTCCCATTTGGAACCATTGCTGTTCAATGTTTTTATGAACGACATTCAGTACCGCTTTTCTAATACAGATTCCTAAGCTTTGCAGATGATTTGAAAGTTTACATGAAAATATATTCACGAGACGACTGTGTTGAACTCCAGAGTGAACTGAACCAACTTTTTACTTAGTGTTTTGCCAATGGTATGGAACTTCGCACACGTAAATACCATTTCATAATTTTCAGCCGTAAACATATTCCTTTTCAACGTTCTCTTATTCTATAAAAAGTCCCACTCAATAATTGAATTTACTTCTAGACAACTCACTTTCGTTTCAGCCCGACATATAACACACTGTTGAAAAGTCTCTCAAAATGCTTGGCTTCATTTGAATATGCATCTCGGACTTGACTAGTATTGAATGCATAATAATTTTGTATTGGCTCTCCAGTAAGAACTCTGCTTGAATATGTATCATCCGTATGGAACCCATCATATGAATATATTAGAACAAGTTCAGAGAAAATTCCTATAAATGGTTGCAGTTTAATCAAGAATTACTCTAGAGAAGTACATACAGAGTGGACCAACGAAAAGTATGCACTAAAAAACGCACGAGAGAAATTGAGGAATGTAGTAGTGATAAAAATGCCGTTTTTTCCGCATTTTCATTAACACCAAAAATATCGAGTAAATGTTCTTACTTTTTTATAACTATTCAAGTAAATGCAACAAATTAGGTATCCATTTAAAATTTTAGGGTTGTTACTCGCCTTCGCTAGGGGGTTGAAGGCACAGGTAGAAAAATACATCTAAAATGTGTCCCCCTCAAAAGCAAAATTGACCTGTCCGAGCATTTTTGCGTTAAGTTACAAAAAAAGGAGGAAAGCAAAGTGCATACTTTTCGTTGGACCACTCGATTTACAATAATCCACAACATTCTATCACCGTTCTCCAAACACTCCGTTACAGAGGGGGTGAAGAGTTTTTTTTTTACACACACACACAAATATCAAACAGATCAGTGAAATAGTTTTGAAATTGTTGATTTTATTTTTATCAATATGATTCTGATGTTTTCATCTTCAAAAATGTATCGAAATGAATCATTTTCAGTTCTGTAAAATCTTCAAGTAATATGGGACAAGACACTTTTGGGCTTGATTTTAAACCAAAATCATTAGAACAACCTGTTCCCGAACCTCCTACCACTCCTGATGCTTCTACTAGTACAAAATTTGAATGTAGCCTCTGCAATATCGGAACAACGTGTCAGGAGCAACTTGATATGCATTACAAGGGACAGAAACATCAGAAGAAATTGAAGCAATTGGGTATGATGACGACTCTTCCACAAGGTTCTAGTAATAAAACAGGTGAGGTAATTGTGGACTCTCTTGAGGAACTCTAAGAAAAACTATGTTCTATATATTGAATTCTTATTTAAAATCATAAACATTCAAAAACCGTAAACATAACAGTTCATACTTCATGAACATTTTTGGAAATATAATCTATGTATTTATGATGATTATATTGTTATACCAAAAAATCTCTCTTGTATTGTTGCGATCCAATTTCAAAGTTTTATTACTGATATGAATGTGTACCTGCAAAAATATGTTCTGTCTTCATGTAAATATTTCTTAAACCGTGTATTGAATGATTGAAAAACATTTGAATTTGGCAGAAGTTCCCATCGTTGGGATGATATTAATATACAGAACATAGGAACCGAGGAGTACCTTATAGCTTAAACAGTGGTAGGCTGCTATAGGGACTAATTTATTATTTATAGAAATGTTGTTTGGATAGTACCAGAGCTTCCAAGGTCATAACCATATTTTTTGACATTTGGTCTTCAAAATTATTATGTTTGAAGGTTTCATGGTGCATTTCATTAGTTCGGACTTCCATTGTCTAGTATGATAGAAATTGATTTGAAATTCCTGAAAGAATCTGTGAAAAATTAAAAATGAAAAGGTAGCTGAAAAAATAACAATTATATTTCAAATCAATTTATATCATACTAGATAATACATTTTATGTATCTTTCAGATACTACATTGAGTAGCATTCCTATGAATAATATCTGATTCTATTCCATAACAAATGGTTGGAGTACAAACTGAATAAGAAAAAGTAATTTTTGTATTGTTCAATGTTATATAGAAGTAGTTGTTCTGAAAGTACTTTTTATTTCGTGTAATTCAATATTTATATGAAAGTAGTTGTTTCGAGAGAGAGTTTTTTTCTTTCAGTTTGTATCTGAAAGTAACTTCTATTCATGATCTCCACATCTTTCTGAAGAGTTCATTTTGAAATTTATTGCTTTTTACCTTCCTTTGTAAGTTTTCCACATTTTTTATATAAATATGAAGAGAAAGAAGCCAAAACCTATTTTTATAACCTATCTAATATAAAGTTGTTACAGAACGATAGAGAGCTGACAAAGTTTATGAAATTTACTTGGTAATTTATATTGTTTAATTTTCATTTGTTGTATCGGATCCACAAAAAGAACAAGTCTGAGTAAGCATAAGCTATGACATCTCTCCTTACGGAGACGCCATCTATATAATTGACAAAAGACTCAATCCACGAATATCAAAGATGAACATGGCCTCAAAAGGCTTTTGTTTCGACTCGCCAAGGCAGTCCATTACAAAACGCTGTCTGGTGTTCTATCATAAATGCTTCGTTTTTGGATTCTGGTTTCAATTAGTTTCCCTGTAGTGAAAGATGCAGCCAAAGACAGAAGACTCTTGTTCAGTGATCGATGTCGAAGCTTGGCTTTGCGGCAGTTTGTCATGGGGAAGCCTCATTCATTTTTGATATTCGTAGATCGAGTTTTCCGTTAATTTCTCATGGGGAGATGTCATCATATTTACTTATATCGTTAAGTATTTTTTAACAAATACTCCATCAAATCATCTTTGATATTTGTGGTCGAATATATTTATGAAAATAATGAGAAAATGAGTATTTCAAAGTAGTACGATTTTGTCTTACTTGTGCCTTCTTTATTAAAATGCAAATATTTGAATACTGAGTTAGAAGCCCTGTTTATCCAAGGCTTGCACAAGTTTTTTTTTGTAAATGTCAGACGAAATGCTCAAATATCTTGTGAATGAGGCACAATGGGTCACATGTGGCCTTAGTGCTGTGGGCCTACACTCACCCTCTCTACTTTACAGATGAGGCACAAGATGGCTGTAATATTGTTAAATTTTTCTTCTGTGCATAAATAAGTGACACTCAGTGTAACAAATTGAAATAACAACGAATTAAAAATAAAAAAAAAACTTTTTATTTCACTTTATACCACTGTTTGGATCATGTGTATGTCCTCGCTTCAGTGCTACCTGCACCGTCTAATGCATACTTGTGTATGTTGTTGTCATCAACTCGAAAATACTGACACTTTCAATGGATATCACAGTTTCAAATCGCAAGTAGCTGCGTTATTGTTACTCTCTATTGATGAGTGTGCCAGCAAAAAACAAATTATTTTGGTATTTGAAAATGTATTTTACTCGGATTTGATTTTATAAAAGTGTATGTGTGTATATGTATTATAATTGTGCCTTCCCGAGTGGAAAATTCCCGATAGATTAGAGCGATAATTAAAATCGATGGTATCAAATTAGGAAAATAATTCAATTCATTCAAAACATATTTACTTGAAGAATAAATGAACGTCTAACTGTGACTCACGCTAAAAAATCCAAGACGAAGTGAAGTACTCCATCTTCAACGTAATGGTATTGTACACGTATTGTCTTCTCTGTTATCATACTCTTTTAAAGGTTTGAAGTTGCATGAAAATCCTAAATTCAACATCACTGCAGTCAGGAAAAGCTGATTTTACATCTATAATATATTTTGGTTGAGATAATTATATTATTTATTCATTAGTTTTTTTGTAATCGAGCAGCTGAGGTGCCTGTTATTTCATCATAAAAACAAAAACAACGTTTCTATCATAATTTCGTCGGAAGTTCAGCATTTTTTTTATAAAACTTTAATACCATTGGCGTGCTTAGTACCGATTATTTTGGTCCTCTAAAAAATGAGTTCAAAGACGACGATAAACACGCTTGATGTGATAGTTTGCATATAACCTTGCACGGAGCAAGATCATTAATGTTTTCAAGCAGAGATTATTGTATTGCATTGAAAAGTACTCCTGAAATCCTTAGACAGTTGAAACTGTTCATCAAGATGAATTGAAAGGACTAAAAAATGATCACAAATGTTGAAACAAAATATAAATAATTCTGCTCAAGTTAACTTGGCCTGTCAAACTTCAGAGAAAATTATAGCTGAAAAAGAAAAAAAGGGATACGCGTCTCTGTCTATTCTGATAATTTATGATTTGAACGAACAGTATCAATGTGCGAGCAAGAAGTAAATTACAGAGATAGTGATAAGGTTGATATGACGGAGACCATTAAAATCGTTCAACATAACATTAGTTTTCTGAACTGAGCCTAATTGAATGGGTTGCTATGATTCTGAGAGAAAACTACTAATTTGGATAAGCTTTGTTCAGGACAATATCAGAAATGCAAAAAATCTCACAAATTCAGATTCAAAAATAAAATCAGATTGTCTCTAGATGAAACCCCTTCAGCATCAGGAATTGTACAAAAAACTTCTGATGAACTAAATGAACATATCCAGGCCGTCGAATCATACCTGGTAAGATATGGAAATATTTCTGTACTTGTAGCAAAAAACTAGAATTGTCCAACAGTAACAGTAAACATTAGTTCACCTGTTATTTTCGAATTGTTTGTGGAATTCATTCAAAATGTGAAGCCTTTTGTCCTGCTGTGAGTCAAGAGGAAATTGATCTTGTTGCTTTGTGCGACAGTAATCAGAAAGGACTGTAAATTAAATGTTGTATCTCAGGACGACAAAAAATACGATAAGTCTTTATTATTCTGTGAATTCGCACGAAACGAAACTCATTTCCTAATTTGTACCGACTCATTGAGTTCCATAAGATCATTCCAAAATAAATTTACTCTTGACCCCCTTGTAAGGATTATTCTTGCCAGAATTCATTTTATGAAGGAAAGCGGTAGAACTGTCAGCTTCATGTGGGTGCCTAGTCATTGTGGCATAAAGAACAACGAGGATGTGGATAAGGCAGCTAGAATGATTGCTAACTCTAACGAATATGAAGATGTACCACTCCACTTAGAAGATCTGAAGAATTTTAATAAAACCAAAGAAATATCTGACTGGCAGACTCTTTGGAATGAAACTAATGCGAAACTGAAATGCTCGAAACCAAGTGTGAATAAGCGAATCTCACCACTGAAATTGACCAGGAAAGAACAAGTTGTTCCCACGCGTCTGTGAATTGGCCATACAAAAATAACACACCTTTACTTGCTCCTAGGAGAACAACAACCTCTATCTACTACATGCCAAACAGTACTAACGGTGCAACATATACTTGTAGAATGTCCAAAATATGAAGAAACCAGGAGACAACATAATATATCTGGGGCAATGAAAGATATTCTATGTGATGATAGACGAACATTGAGCAACATGATGGTATGTTTAAAAGATGCAAATATAATAGATGAAATTTGAAAAACAAACAAGTCCGCGGCTAATAACCTAGCAGTTGATGCCGCGAAAAACACAAAAAAAAACCGTCTAATTGTTAGATAATAATTTACCCTTCATCGATTTAATGTGTAGATTCTTTTTGAAGCATACTTCATTCTATGTGGGTGTTATTTATATTCCACTATCTGTAGGCACTGAGACTTATGAAGTTCTTTACATGTTCTACAGTTTTTGCTTCTAATATGTTTTTCAATTGAATGGGTAGGGTGAAAATAATCTTCACAATTTACACAACCCGAACATTTAATGCCAACAGCTGTTTCGACACACAGTGACATCTTCTGAGCGAATTATAAACTAACTTAGTTATATGATGTCTCCTTAAATACTAAAAGTTGCATTGGTAGTTCTGGCCTATATATAAGGTTCGACGACTGCAATGCAATACTCACAATTACACAAAATTCGGAAATTCTACACATTCAACCAAAAAGTCTGAAGTTAAATATATTGGAATATATAGAAAACAAAAAACATCTTGCTAATAAAAGCAACATTGTTCTGAATGATCAGATATATATTTATAATTCTCCAATTATCAATAAGGTTATTAGTAATTTCCCAAATTCCCCTTGATACCTCTCTCTACCTAGGTTAGTTTATAACTCGCACTTGACACAGTTGAGACCAATCACCAGTTTTTAATGTCGATTTTCGAAGACTATTTCTATGATCTACCTTTGGCTAACTATAACAACATCTGGTTTCAACATGATGGTGCCCCACCGAACAAACACTAAGGAATTAATCTTGCAGTGAATAATATTCGAAGAAGGGCACAGTTGTGTTATCATGAACAAGGCCAGCATTTTGAGCATTTGGTATGATTTACTTTTGTCTTAGCATTTTAGTTAATTATTGTTATATGCTCAAAGTTCTATTTTCATTGAAAAGGATACAATGTCTAATTTACCTCATACACACCTCATTTATCGAATTTTGATTGTTGATTCTGTCTCCGTATTTTTTCATTGGCTTTTCAAACGAACCAAACTCGGTGAGATTTTGATCCAATAACTTGAACATAGTTCGATGTGGTTGTCGTCTTTCGGGATACAAGTTTAAATACATTTCCGATGTCCTAACACTGTTTCTATCGTATTTGTAATAAATTTGTATCATATCTCTTTCTTCTTCATTCGTGAAAGCCATTTTTCGCCAAAAATTCAATGACTTGTACAATAACAAATTGTCATTGAGTGTAACAAATTGAAAGTCAAATTCAGAAACATCAAAGTAAAAGCCTATTATCATAAGAATGATAATATCTCCAATTTTTTGAAAGAAAATGATAACTTATGATACATCATTGAAAAGGTAAAAGTTGATGATGGTGGCCGGAAGACGAAACGTCAGATAGCAAATCTGAAAACACGATTATGTAGCAGGGTAAAAGTAGCAATGTGGAAGTGCAATTTATTTTGGAATCCTTTGAAAAATAAAGCCAGAAAAAATAAAAACCATTTTCCGAAATTTCTGTTTTTTTCCGGATATACTCCGAATTTCAGAACTTTTTCAATAGTATATTGTTAGTCAGGTAAATGCGCAATTTGCCCCAATTTAACCATCTTCGAATCTCTTATAGTTTCCGAGATCCCAATGGTGAGGATCGAATTTGAAACACCCTGTATAATTATGTGTGCTCAATTTGAAAACAAACTGAAACAGGTTTTCATCAGCTGTTTTTAATAATGTGATTTTGTTGCAGCTTCTGCAGTGGAGTCTAAACCTTTGGATAATATTAATTTATCAGTACACCGAACTCCTTCTGGAGACTTTTATTGCCAGAACTGTAATCTTTCCCTGAATTCAGAACCGCAATTCATTCTGCACATAAAAAGCAAGGGACACCTAAAAAAAATCTTCCATAAACAGTAGCCATTTGAAATTTATTTATTTTAGGTTATGAACATTAAAGATTTTTTTTATCACAAGCATTTATTGAATATAATACATCAAATATGAAACTATTAGAGGGTTTACACAAGGATCAGTTAAAAGACAGCAAATATTTATGAAAATAGTTCAAAAGCACGCGAGTCCTATTCGAGACGTTTTGAGGGTAAACAACAACTAAAAGGTTGCGGACAGAACCATCAGCGAGTTAAAATATGTGTTGAAGTGTAAATACTTTGGATACTATGAGTTATCTTCCAACCTTTCTCAGATTTATCATGTTTCCGAATCCAAAAAGAAATGACGATTTGAGTTCTTCCTTGAATGGTTATGTTCAACACTCTTCATTTTAAAAATTAAATTTGAATGTTAGTTTGTTTTTTGCTCGGTGTATAAACATGCATAGTTCGAGTTCGCATAACGTGGAAATATCTGAATGATTTTTGTGTTTACATTAATTGATAGTTCCTTATAATCTAATTTTATCACTTTGTAACCTTTTAGGAGATTCATAAACCATTTGTACTTTATATCAAAAGAATTATATTCAGTAAATGTTTTTAAACTAGTCTGAAGTATTATATTTATATAGTGGATTTGTTAATACTAACTAATAGACTTACTGTTTAAAAAGTTCAATAAATCTTTTGAATGATCCCTATTTTTTTCAAGTATGTTATCTTTAAGAGGACAATGCAGGTACTATGTCTTCTTCCATGATTTTTAGAGCTCACATATGCTTAATCCATTATAATGGGATATCAAGTAAATAAATTGAATGAAATGATAAGGTTCCAGTTTCAACATGAAAACTACGGTAATGTGTGAAAAACTGCAAAAGAATGTAAAGTTTCACGGCCGACGATAACTGTGAAAGCTATTCCGCTCTTTTTGACCGTGGTACCTATACTTCTTTTCGTGATTCCAATGTAGTCCGACGCGCAGCTATAAGGAATATGATATACCTCGGTTCTCTGAGGTCTTTAACTGACCTGATGGTTTTCGTTGGCCAAATATTGGTTTCACGTTGTGTTCCTTTAAGATTCTCACAATCCGGTCTGTAACATTTTTAACATAGGAAAGGAAAGCTTTTTCCTTGACTAGACAAGGTGGGGTTACTTTGGCGTTCTCTCTCCAGTTGTATTAGCTGCTCGAATTCTCCTTTGCTGTACCCATTTCTTTTGAAGGCATTTTAGGCGATTGAGTTTCTCAGGAAGACTCTCGGGTTTACAGATACGTCGTGTTCTCTCAACCAACGTTTTAATTACCCCCTATCTTTTGTTGTGGCTGGTGGTTAGAGTTTTCATTCAGGTGTGTTGGTTTCCTGTACGCTCTGTGGCCCAATGTATTATCTTCACATCTATTCACAAGAACATTCAAGAAGGCTAGATTCCCTTGGGTTTCTCGTTCCAATCACCTAAAAAATGTCTAACCTCTTATGGACCGAGTTATCAAAAAACAATCAGAAAAACGTTTTATGTTGGAAATGTGTGAATATGATCATAATAATTATATAGTCGTGACGATTTGCAAAAATTTCATTTGGTTTTTGTTTTCTGGGTAAGTATCACATATGAAACAATGGTAAACTATGGAACAAATATTTATTTATGCATTTCCATGAAACAATTCCTATTTTTGTTAAAACACAAAAAATATTTTACATTTCATGCAATATACAGAGGTGATATTTTTACAGTATGGCAATTTGCATCTTTGGCTATCTTCTTTGCATAAGGGAAAGTGCCCAACACCATCTCTTGTAGTGAAATTGGTTTTGTGGGTCCTCTCTTTCTCTTCATTTCCATATTTATGCATTTCCATGAAACAATTCCTATTTTTGTTAAAACACAAAAATATTTTACATTTCATGCAATATACAGAGGTGATATTTTTACAGTATGGCAATTTACATCTTTGGCTATCTTCTTTGCATAAGGGAAAGTGCCCAACACCATCTCTTGTAGTGAAATTGGTTTTGTGGGTCCTCTCTTTCTCTTCATTTCAAAATCTTGCTGAATTCTGTCTGCAGATGGCCTACCTCTTTTTAGGAATACAGTCTTATTTCTTCTGCATAGAACTTCAGCAATTTCTGATCTGAATGCTAACAAGTCTTTTATCTCATTTTTACTCAATAAATGTGCTGAACAGTCTCATCTATACAATAGCCAACTGTTTACAATAACTTATGATGTACTGTTGGAAACCTTTGGTGTAGTAATGAATATTACTGGAGTTTTTTCCCAACACCAAATCGTTATTTTTACACCTCGACACGTGTTTCGATCACCAAGTGATCATCTTCAAGAGGAAGATAAAACTGTTTTATCGTCGAGGTGTAAAAATAACGATTTGGTGTTGGGAAAAAACTCCAGTAATATTCATTGTTTACAATAAAATGAAAGAAAAAGCGTAAATAGTATTTTTAGATCGGATTCCAATTCGATAATATGCAATGAGACCATCCACAAGATCTACTCCTCCCATGAACTCATTATATAGTGATATGATGTCTGGGCAAATGACATTAATTTCTTGTTTGGCTTTCCTATCGAATCTTTTTATTACTTTTTTGGGATAAGCTGAAGCAAATGAAGTTGCTAGTACAACAGGTTTGTTATCATACCATTTTACTGCTCTCTGCTTACATCCATCAATATCTGCTTCCCGTTCTTCCAAGCTCCCTCGGCCAAGTTTTTTCATTTCTTTATCCGAAGTGAAAGTCAATCCTGGAAATCTCTTTATTCGAATAGTTCCTAGACTATATATTCCCAAGTTCAGTAATTGTGCAAACAATTGTGGAGATGCAAACCAGTTGTCAAAAAATAAAAAAAATAGTTTTGATTTCTTGGTATTATTTCATATAATTTTATTACAATATTCGAACTAGCACCGATATCTGGAAAATTTGGACTTGGATCTATCTTTCCAGTATAAATTTCAAAATCGTAAACCAATCCCTTGGCATCACAGAGAGCACATATCTTGTACCTCCATTTATGAGGTTTTTAGGGTTGTATTGTCGTAAACAAGCACAACCTTTATAGGGTACAATCTGTTCATCAACACAAAGTTCTTTGTCAATAGGTATTCTGTTGAATTTTTTTCTCAAATTTTCGATAAAAGGTCTAATTGTGTAGAGTCGATCCAAGTTATCTATGTCTATCTTATTATTGTCAATCATGTGTAGGGAAGACTTTATCTGTAAAAATCTATTTCGACTCATCGCATCTGCAATTTGTGGAATTCTAATGGACTGTGCCCAGTACATTTTGGTTCTGGGTAAATTATAAATAGACATATAAAGGCATATGCCAATGAACTGTTCCATTTCATTTTTTGACACTGAAAGAGGTTTAGTAGGATCTTTTTGAACAGCATAAAGGTTTGACTGATACACGAGCAGGTCGAAAATTTCATCATCAAAAAAACATTTCAAAATAAGTACTAGATTTGTCTACTTTTCTCTCAAGCCATTCTTGGTTTTGGCTGAGTCTCTCTCTCATCTTCGGAAGTATCCAAATCAGATTCACTGTTATCTGAATTGTTTTGCCCTTGTATATGTTCAAGTACAAAGTCAGGATCATTATCACTATCGTCTAAACAGCTATCGTCGCTTTCGAATGGTGGTACTCCTAGATTTCTCTGACTCATATCTGTGATTATATATATTAGTTCCATAATTTCGAATAGGAAACAAACCTTACCTTTCCTTGAGGTACCACAATATCAAATACGATACCGAAAAAAGTCTTATATCAACTAGTTCCGAACGATTTATGATAATAATACAACTGCACATCAAAATATGTGCACGGAGTACACGAGTGACCAAAAACAAACTTATTAGCTTTTTTTATACAAATGAGGGTCACACAAAAGTGAAGTAATCGCAAATAAGTTCCCAACCTACTACTGTCAGTTATAGTCATTCCTAAATTAGTGAAATTGACGGTAGATGGCACTAGATATAGCGAACTAGATTAAGTAGAAGGTATCAAATGTGCCATACTGGGATATAACGTACAACTCCTAACCATTTATAAGAAATAAAAAAATCTGTACGTATCATATCTTTTACGTTGGTCCAAAAGAGGTTAAAGTGAATGAGTACAGCAAAAGAGAATTGGAGCGGGCCATACAACCCAGGACAAAGTAACCCCAGCTAGGCTAGTCAAGGGTAAAGCTTTCCTTTCCTATGTTGAAAATGTTACAGACCAGATTGGGAGAATCTTGGAGGAACACGATGTGAAACCAATATTCCTATGTAAAAAAAAATATCAGAATAATCTTCAATATGAATACAAGAGATTCTTGCAGAGGAGCCTTTAAAATCAACGAACTACTTACCGTATCAGCAGTCTATATCTATGAATCAATAAAATTTATCAATCATCCAGGCCATTTTGACATAAATCGCAAAACGCATATTTATGAGACAAGATGGAAAAAAGACTTCTCATATCCCATCCATGTAAAATCCCTATATGAACGTAGCACTATCTATACTGGATTGAAATTTTATAATAATCTTCCGAAAAACATAGAAGATATTGTCGTTAACAAATTTCTGAAATCTGTAAGAGAATTTATATGTTATATAGAGCCCTACAATACTGATGAATATTTTTTGGTCTGCAGAAATTTATGAACCAAATTTTATTCAAAATTGTGCTATGTATTTATAGAAATTTTCTCTACTTTCAATAATCATGCGCAATATGACGTATATTTGTAATCGTGTTTGAAACTTGAATCTATTTATTTATTTATTTTGAATGTTTCATTTTTAGATTTATATGTACACATATTTGATATTTCTTACAATTTTCCTTTTGACGTATTTTTCAGACAAAAATATTCTGCCACTCTTGTGAATGATTATAAAATACTCTGTTGAAATAAATGTATCTATCTATGAAAAATCAGGGAAAATTTAATAGAAAAGAAGGAAGTAATGAACATTAATAAAATCGGGCTTCCTATCCCTAATTGTATACAAACAAGGTCTGGAAATCCAAATGAGAGAAACCAAGGCACGCCCACCAATAATAATATGTAACCAGAGTCAAATACCAGCATTGTAGTTTCTACGTTTGAAACAACTCGATGTGTACTGCAGTAGTAGACGAAACGCTAGACATAAAAACCTGCAGACCAAGGCCAAAAAAGTATAAAAGATTTTATTATGAGATTTCCACTAGACAGTCAGAAAACTACAACACAAGTTTCTTTATACAAGAACTTCATCAAACGTTTTCATACGCATATGCTTAAGCTATGAAAGACACTTTAAATAATAAAAACTAGATGAAAAAAAATGTTATAGCTGGTAGTAATGAGGTTCTTGGCACGCTACCTACTATTCAAGATTGGCCAGTTGACAAAAGCAAACGAAAAAAGTAATAAAACAATAAAATATTGCTACTTTATTTCTTAAGATTGAATTATGAATATCAATGTTGCCATATTATGATCTTATTTTGAATGAAAACAAAATAATATCCATTCCAATTGTACATTCATGGGTATATAGTAATGCAAATATTACAAATTTACATTTCATGATGATATTGTCTGATATTTTATTCTAATAAATACTTAAGATAACTTTCCTACAAATTACCAAAATGTAACATTCAAATACATTTTATCACAACTTTCAACACTGGTAACTTCTACAACATATCAGCCTTCTCATATTATTATTGACTCATTTTATGCATGTACTATTCCAAAAATTGATCAAAACCATTTCAAAAACTTTTGGAAAGGAGTTCTTAACGAAGATATCTTGGTTGAGAGAAGTTGAGAGTTTACTTATCACAATAAAATAAAGCATTTTAATTTGAAATACTTCCTGTTGCTTTTCTAATCTACTGTTTCATATAAGGATATTCAATTTCAGATAGGGGGACAAAGGTTTCTTTAATTGCTTGAGGATTGCCCCACCTGAGTAAATGAAATTTGCCTCAATTACAAGAAGTTAAGAATCCAGTTAGTGAGGAACCTAAAGAAAATCTTCCTACAAACAATTACCACACCAATATTTGCTCAGAATGAACCTCGACACTTTGCTTGCCTTATTTTCTGTCAATATCCCATCTTTTTACTGCTTGGCGACAACATATTCTATTCATAGAAGAAGACGATAAACTGAACAGTAGTGAAAGTTCATTATTTTTCAAGTGTTGGGAGTTGTTTGTTTTTTGGCCAAGGAGTTCTATAATATGACTGACAATCAAACAATGAAGATTCTATCTACGTGATCGACATGAAACAATACACGAATATTAAAGATAAACAAGGCTGCCCATGCACAGTCAAGCACCGACTTCGACTGCCAAAGGATATTCGTTCTCGTGTCTTTCTCTACATCTTTCACTGCAAGGAAACTAGTCAAAACAAGATCCTTTGGAAAACTCGTTCATCTCTGATATTCGTGGATTGAATTTTCTGTCGATACCATGAATAATGTCTTTGTGCTACCTGGTGTTGCATGACATTTTTGGACTATGATTTTCGACTCAAAAATCAGTGTTTCAGGAAACAGGATGTTTACATTTATTATTTTAGTAGGTCATATACAGATCAACAACTGATATATAGGTACTGAAAAAACTGTGGGGGTACCAACCATTGGTACAAAACTAGGTCAGGAAATAGGGAACGTCTGACAAAAAAAAACTGAAGAATGGTTATTGATCAATTCTCTGCCATGTCGAGGAAATATGCTGATACTCTAAATATTGAAGTCAATTATTGTGAAATTGTTCCACCCCACCAACACTTTTCGATAGATGATATCCTAACTTCAAGAGGCATTAAAATATAACCTAGGTAATTTCGATTCACTTGGTATATATTATGCAACAGTATATTCACATGCCAGTTTAAATAGAGCAAGATACTTTTCAAGATTGTTTACAGTTCCGAAAGAATTTTCTGTGTCAACTGTCTGAGCAGTTGTCAACCCATCTTAAATTACAAAATCCTAACTCCATCTTCAACTGAAAGTTTACTGAGCAAATGATAATTGTATTGTAGATTTATATGTTCGAATTTTATATTTGCAAGACCGAATTTAAAACTTTTTTTGCTCTGAAATATATGAACATAATCACAACACAATCTTCAGTAACGTTTTGTGAATCCCAAACACGTCACTTTGTAAGAAAATTCTCAATATGTTACTCCATTTTATAAGAAACTGCTTAATGAGGTGAAACTAGCAAGAAGCGACATCTTCAAAAAAGGTATCAGAGTGATGCTACTGGGAACAAGGAAAATATTTTTTAGGGAATGATTCTGTTCAAAAATTAGTAGATTGAAAAATATTAAATACCTGATAACCTTGCACCTCCAAATGGTTGTTGCCCAACAACACTACCAGTTGATTTGTCATTGACATAAAAATTACCAGCTGTCATTTTTAACTCTTCTACAGCTGACTTCAAGAATTTCCTAAAAAGATATTTTCGGTATGTGTACATACTAGTATTGATAAATCATCTAAAACTTACTCATCTTGTGCGAAGATTGCCCCAGTAAGAGCGAAGGAAGTTGATGTTCCAATAAGGTCCATGGTTTCTTTAATTTTATTGTCTTTATATACATAAATTGAGAGAACAGGACCAAAAATTTCTTCAGTCATAATTTTATCCTTGGGATCTTTGGTCTGGACAATCGTCGGTTCGATGAAGTAGCCCACACTGAAAAATCAGAATGTATTATTTACAAAAAAATTATTCATTTCAAAATAGCCTACCTGTCATCACATTTGCCTCCTCCAATAATTTCCAAATTGGGTGACTTCTTAGCATGATCTACATAATTCTTGATTCTTTTAAAAGCTTTATCATCAATAACTGCAGAAGTGAAACTTTGTGGGTCAGTTGGGTCCCCAATTTTCAATTGAGCTCTTTTAGCTAGCAAGCCTTCTTTAATCTGAAAATATAACGGCACTTTTCATTAATTCATAAAACAGATTAAAATATAATATTACAAGAACTGGGTGAAAATGATACAGAATTGGAAAAACCAGACAAGGTAAGTTTTAATATAGAAATTGTATCTATTGAAGATGAAAATGCTCTTTAACACCGACTTTTAACAATTTTTTTTTTAATTAGGTCTTTATGGGACCAAATAGAATTTTTACTTACAGCAATGGTCATAGTAGTTCTACTTGATATCGACCATATGGTCACTACCCTACCTAATGATATACTTTCAAATATGAATTGATTCAGCCAAATATAGCCGACTACTTAGCCCAACTCTTGAGTAGTGGTGCCATTTGTGTGTCAAAAGTTTAGCGAAGCATCAATTGTACCCCAAAAACACTATGGAGTTTTGAACATATCTGATGTCTGACGATTGGACAGAATTATACTACCAGGATGTTTTTCTCATTTTCTTGACAATATTTCATGGTGTTTTTTGTCTCATGTCCTATCAAAATTATTAAACTCAAATGAAAAATATCCAAACCTTGGATAACATCATATCATATAAGAAGGAAAAACATTAAAGGGAGAACGCTTGTTGACTGCACACGCAATATATATAATAAAATGTGTCGTTCTAGTGCATAGGAACCTTGACTTGTACATAACAAAACTGAGCATTCGCGGTCAGGATACTCGCCATGATACTGTTGTGAAGATCTCTTCAGTATAAGAGTTATCATTTCAAAAAATCTCCATTGTATAATGCCATCAATTTTTTTAACAGACTGCCACTTTCTATGAAGAGGTCAAATTCTGAAACTATGTTTAGTAAAAAAGTTGAAAACTTATGTTACTACAGCCTTACATAAGGATATTTAGAGGATATTTTTACAGAAGAATAATAACATTTTTGATTGATGTAATGTTTTACTTATTGTTTTTTGCTTCAATTTCACAGTGTTCTGACTGGTGACTACTGCAAGCAAAATTGACACATTTTTATGATTATTTTATATGTGTACATATAAGTTGACAAATATGTATATCTGTGTGTATACAAATATTAATTTTAATTTCAATTTTTTTCATATCATTAAGCGACATACTGTTAAAACAAGTTTTTTTATTTTGAGTCATTTTTCACCTACCATATATATGCTATGTATCGCAAATGGTGAATAAATATCATTATTATTATCACTCAAAACAGAGTCAATGCTATCAATCAAAAGCCTCAGAATTTTAGTAGAGTCAAAATTCTGTGGTGCAAATTTGTCATGCACGCTAGATCGGGACTCTCCTGTATTCATACTCAATTTGAAACAGACCTGTGGCATACAGAACTATGAAAATGATCTTGACCTCATGAACCACATTGGCATATGGAACAATTTATAACTTGGTCCACAAGGTGGCATTTTTTTGATCACTTTTATCTTGGTTCCATAGACTGTAATGGTAAGAAACGTGTTAATCTATAATTATGAATGTTATAGTAGAGTAAATTTGATAACCAATCTTCGTTATATTTCATAGTCGCTCACAAAAAGTGTGGTGGATATTCGAAGAAATCCCATTTCAAAATTGACAACACTCAATTCAAAAACTCAGAAATCATATTATTTTTGAATTTTAATATTTCTTTGCCACAAAAATATCGGAAATATTTGTAATCAAGTGATACCTTGGGCCATAGGGATTCTGGAACATACATCCTAGAACAGGCACTACATTTTTGGCCGCAAAATTCAAATGCACTTCGGATAGTTCCATTTACAACAGTCTCCACATCAGCTGTCGGATGGATGAAATGATAATTTTTGCCACCACACTCCCCAATCAACCTCGGAAAATTCTTGTAGATATGTATGTTCTCTCCAACTTGTTTCCAGAGTCTAGTGAATGTCCTGTAAACGATAAAAATCATTACATTAGTATTCAAAAATATATACGTAAGGGATTCTAAAATAAATTAGGTACTCACGGTACACTTCCCGTAAAGTTAATTCCTGCCAAATGAGGCGATGCTGTAATAGTATCACCGAAAACAGGTCCGTCTGCTGGTACAAAATTGACTACACCTGGCGGAACTCCAGCTTCCCTGCAGATATTGAATATAACCCAATTTGACAAGAGAGCAGTGTCACTTGGCTTCCATAAAACTGAATTACCCTGAAAACAGTAAACGAGATTGGATCAAAGAACTGTGGTATAGATTCTAATGATTTGAGTAAATGAAATCATTTGATACTTTAATTCCAGGGAAATGTTTGAAATAATTTGTTTTGAAAGTTTTATTGTTCTGAGTTGTGAAATACAAATAGAGGAATGCAAAAATAATAATAGACATATTGTGCGACATTTCCTTTGGAAGATATATAGTGTCATCCCCAAAGTATTTTGTTTAATTCACAACATTTAGTTAATGAGTACATTCATTTGAGAAGGATTCAATTTTGGGATGGATTTGATTCTAAAGTGTTCTAGGTAAGTGTAAATTCAATATATTCAGCAAGACTACCTTCCAATCGAGTTAGTGTCCGAACGAAAGTTCGGTTTCGGTCGAGTTTCGGCAAAAAAATAGTTTCGGCGGCAAACCTGCCGAAACTAAGACTGAAATCGAAACTGCAATCGGGAGTTCCCGCGGAGTGATCGGTCATGTTCGGCGCGTTGAATTTCATACAAGCGACGAAGACATTTTGCCGCGTCCACGTGCCTAATCATGTCGTGACTTACTTGGTTTATTACAGAAATATTAAGTACCTATTATGATATAAGGTAATAACTTAAATAAGTAATTTTATGTTTATTATTTTTGAAAAACCATCAATAATATTCAAAAGAAGGATCTACACCTACTCAAATTAACACCTCACCTATTTTAAGTATTTTTAAGATGCAATGAATATTTTTTCTCAAATAAGGGTTTGTTTGTTATGTTGATTATCAATTAGTAAAAATGTCGAAGACTCCATAACGTTGTGATTGAAAGTTAAAACAATAAAGAGTGTCTGGTTATAATAAGGTTTTCTTTATTTTTCCCCCAAAACATAATCCTTCTAAGGAAGATTCGGTTTCGGCCGAAACTAAGACCGTTGCCGAAATTCGGTTTCGGTCGTAAAAACCAGTTTCGGTCGGACACTAAATCGAGTTTTGTAGTTTTCATCTCTCGCCTTCATTATATATTATATGGTTATTTAAAAGAATGTTACTAGTTGCCATGTTTCAGCTAGAATTATTATATCAAATTCGTTCTCAAAGTTTTTCAAAACAATTTTCAGTTCATTCAAGTTCTTCTGTATAGTGTGAAATGGTCTGAAGTCAATTTTTTCCTGCCTCAGCAAGGAATTCCATTCCTTTTGGTTTATAGATTCTTTTCATCAAAATGTTGGATGTATGGATGCATATTCTTACAGGCAACAATTTACATTTGAAGTTGGGTGTTACAGTACGGGGTATTGAATGTATAAAATTACATGTACAAATAAGTAATTGTGGAACTATTGAAAATTATGACAAGGTTATGATAAGCATGAAAAATTATAATGTGTATTAAACAGGTTTTGGATTATTTCGTAGTATTCTGCTGTCTCTATTTCTATTCTGCGCCTGTATTTTGCTGCGAAGTCCGCTCTACAGTTTTATTTATTTTAGTATCTGCAGTATTCTCAATTACCTTGAGCTGATGATTCATATCCAACACAATTTTTTCGTTGCCTGTGTTTCTTGAGTGGCAAGGCACCCAGTATACAGTCAATCTAATATGTAAGAATATTGATTCGCTTGTTTCATTGTGGCTTCAAATTGATATTTTATGCACTTTGTAAAACTGTAGAATGCTGTAGAATGCAAGATTTACTGAACAGTGGTAGTAAATTATTATTGCAAAATTTTGCACAAGAGACTATGTGACTATAAGGAGAGGGAACAGAGGAGATTGATTCTTAGCAATTTGCTTCACGAGTAAGCTTCATGAGGGTCAGAAATTACAAAGAGCATCCAGAAAGGACTGACTGGTGGCTGGTGGAAAGTTTGGGTAAACTCGAATGGGCCGTAAACTAATTCCAATCTTATAAGTCGTTGGGACTAGATGGCACTTATCCAGCAATGCTGCAAGGACCGGAACTTCTACCTAACAATTGACCAGTAAGTCTTTGTAAGTNGAGAGACAACAATTTTGTACTACAGAGCAGGTATGTCGATAGAAACATGTTTATGCCGGGTCACGGAAAAGGCACAATATGCTTTCGAAAACAAGTGAATGCTTTTTTGAATGCAGAGGGTTCATTTGATAATACGTCCTTAGAATCAACCATCTAGGCATCGACGAGAAGATGGATGGAAGACACAAGTTGCAGGTGGATAGACTGCATGCTTAGAGGAAGATTGATATACGAGGTTTGTTCAAAAAATAGGTGAATGTTCAAATTTCGCGGGGTATGTACATTCGATTAGCGATTTTTTTATGTTGGGACAGTCATCTCGAACATATGTTCACAGTTTCAGCTAATTAGCATGTTTAGTTTGTTGGTGAGAGGCATAAAAGTTAGAAGTGTTTTACATGCTCTGCGATTTTTTGCTTTGGAAAAAAATTTATCGAAAAATTTGCATCAATCGCAGGGAGAGCTCAAGGACATACTCAAAAGTGCATATCATAACTGCTTCGAGGATTGGACAAGTGTATTATATCTGAGGAGGATTACTTTGAAGGAGACAAAATAGAAATTAGAATAAATATTTCTCGAGAAAAATGAAAATTCACCTTACTTTTTGAACAGACCTCGTAAACGACCGACATGGGATAGACAGTAGTGGTACGAGTAGGAAAGAGTTGTTCTCAGGGGGGTAGGAGATTTATCCCCACTCTTGTGGAACCCTGTAATGGACAAGTTATTATGTCTTCTGGACCATAGTAGACAAAATGTAGTGGGCTACTCAGAGACGACTTAGAGAGAACATCCTGAGAACATGCTCGGCAGAAACACCCGTTATACAGATGGGTCAATCACTGAACGTGGAACCGAAGGTGGAATTTACTGTGCGGTTGAAATCTTCATTTCAGTTATCCACTCGGTCAGTACATATCAGTCTATCAGGCTGAAGTATATGCAATCTTGCAATTTGCAAGGAACATCAAATTGAGGCCTTATTGAAATGTGTGGATCAATATTTCAAGAGAGCCAGGCTGCACTTGAGGTACTGACAAATACAAAAGTGACATCAAAAGACTGATCTGGAAATGCTGTGAAGAACTGAGGAAACTGACGGGTAGGAATAGATTGTGTGTGTACTAAACATAGATCATCAACTTCATATATAGGCAAGTGGTAATCTCACATTAAAGTGTGTTTTTCGAATACTTCATATATAGGCCTTAAACCAGCTGCGGTCAGAAAATCAATGAGTTTGTTCTGAAATACCTATTTTATTTTGATGTTTTGTGATTTGATATTATTGAATATTAAGTTCTTGTCACAATACATTATAATTTTTAGTAATTTTCGATGTTAACAAAAAATTAAAATAACTTTGCAAATTATTTCACTCTTCAAAAAAATGGACCGTGGTTAACAGTATAGTTGTGTAGTTCGTAATATTACAGACTTTCAAAATAAACCGACGTATAGAGGATGCTGTCTATTTATCGTTTAAGCAAAATTTTTTTTCGTAGTCCCCATTAAAAAAAATTGGTTAAAAAATGAAACTCCACTTAGATGGCCATGACTTCAAATCTAGATGTATTTTTTAATGCTGAAAACTTTTCTAAACAACATTTCCCGAAATTTTTCAAAATAAGAGTACTTTATACTTGTGTCAAAATCAAATATTTGAAGGTTCCTCGTATATTACGTGTGTTTTACTGTATTTTGTTGGTGCATGTTTAGTTTTAAGGGATGCACAAACTTTTATCAAGAATAACATTTTGTAGAAAAACCCTTAATAAATAAGTTTTCCATATGGTGCATACTTTGGGGATACTGTATAATAATTTCATCAAATAAATTCAACGAGGAATCTGATAATTACTTGGTTCAAGGTTTGGTGTGGGTAAATGCAAATCTAGTGAATCAGGTTGAAGCTTTCATTGCAAAGAAAAAAATATTCTCTTTCAAAATATGAAAAAAAATCTTGATGTTAACTTGTTTACAATGGAACTCCTACTCCATACTGTTAACTCTTGTTATCGTTTATTTTGTTTAATTCACAACATTTAGTTAATGAGTACATTCATTTGAGAAGGATTCAATTTTGGGATGGATTTAATTCTAAAGTGTTCTAGGTAAGTGTGAGTAGAAATGAGTTCTTCAGGTAAATTTAATATATTCAGCAAGACTACCTTTCAATCGAGTTAGTGTCCGACCGAAAGTTCGGTTTCGGTCAAGTTTCGGCAAAAAAATAGTTTCGGCGGCAAACCTGCCGACCCTACGACTGAAATCGAAACTGCAATCGGGAGTTCCCGCGCAGTGATCGGTCATGTTCGGCGCGTTGAATTTCATACAAGCGACGGAGACATTTTGCCGCGTCCACGTGCCTAATCATGTCGTGACTTACTTTGTGATTTACTTGGTTTATTACAGAAATATTAAGTACCTATTGTGATATAAGGTAACAACTTAAATAAGTAATGTTATGTTTATTATTTTTGAAAAACCATCAATAATATTCAAAAGAAGGATCTACACCTACTCAAATAAACACCTCACATATTTTAAGTATTTTTAAGGTGCAATTAATATTTTTT